GCAACTGGAATTCCCTACTCATGACGCCAGGCCTCACAAAGTGAATCGTGCACCTAATTCAATGATTTAGGAGACACAGCACTTCTTACATGCCCTGAAGTTGTTGTTTAAATTTATATCCCAAAGCCTGCAGCCTACCTGCTTGGCTAAGTGCCTCTTGGAAACTATCAACACTTTGCTCCTGGGATTCCTCAGTCCTTGACCCTCCTAATACTTGGCCTTGTTTAAACACGTTTCTGGTTCCATGATGTAAAGTTTATCACTCAAGTCTCCTGTTCCAAGCTTCCACCACCACCAGGCTGAAAAAAAGTAAAAATACCTCTGTCTCTTGAAACAGACCTTCTGTAAGCCCCTGTCTTAGTTACCTAGCGCTGCTATAACAGAATTACCACAAGTGGATAGCTTCAACAAACAGAAGTTTATTTTCTCACAGTCTAGGAGGCTAGAAGTACAAATTCAGGGCATCAGCTCCAGAGGAAGGCCTTCTCTCTCTGTCAGCTCTGGAGAAAGGTCCTTGTCATCAATCTTCCCCTGGCCTAGGAGCTTCTCAGATGCAGGGAACTCAGGTCTAAAGGACACACTATGCTCCTGGCATTCCTTTCTTGGTGGTAGGAGGCCCCTCTGTCTCTCTGCTCGCTTTTCTCTTTTATATCTCAAAAGAGACTGGCTCAAGACACAATCCAATTTTGTCGATTGAGTCTTGCCTCATTAACATGACCTGTCACTAATCAACATCATAGAGACAGGATTTACAACATATAGGAAAATCACATCAGATGACAAAATGGTGGACAATCACACAATATTGGGAATCATGCCCTAGCTAAATTGATACACATCTTTTTGGGGGACACAATTCAATCCATGACAGCCACCAAGTTCACCAGCTCCAAACTCTCCTATCTCACTCAGGGCCACAGACCCCTTAGAAGTCACACTATATTATCTCTTCTTAAAATGATGCTGTAAAGAAAATGGAAATCCTCACAACTGGATCAATAAAGAACATTATGGAGAAAAAACTGAAGCTGTCAAGGATTCCATTCTACTTGGATCAACAACCAACGTCCATGAAAGCAGCAGTCAAGAAATCAAATGATGTACTGCATCGGGCAAATCTGCTGCAAAAGACCTCTTTACAGTTTTAAAAACCAAAGATATCACTTTGAAGACTAAGGTGTGCCTGACCCAAGCCACTCTCTTTTCAATCACCTCATATGTATGCAAAAGCTAGACAATGAAAAAAGAAGACAGAAGAAGAATTCATGCATTTGAATTGCAGTGCTGGTGAAGAATACAGAATATTGGATAGACTGGCATGGACTGCCAGAAGAACAAATGAGTCTTAGAAGAAATACAACCAGAATGCTCTTTAAAGCAAGGGTGGTAAGACTTCATCTTGCTTACGTTGGACACATCAGTAGGAAATACCAAGCACTAGAAAAGGACATCATGATTGGTAAAGAAGAGGATCAATGAAAATGAAGGAAACCCTCAATGAGATGGATTGACACAGTAGCCTCAACAAAGGACTCAAACATACAAATGATCATGAAGATAGTGCAAGTCCAGGGAACATTTCATTCTGTTTTTCATAAAATCATCATGAGTTGGAGCCAACTCCATGGCAACTAACAAGAACAAAAAAAAAAAAAAATGCTGATAAAGGGAATGCTGATATTCATGCCGTTCCTCTGCTCAAGACCCCTAGTTCAGACATCTGAGGGGCGCTTGACTCCAGGCTTCCCACTGCCAGGCTCCCCACAGTCATCTGGCTGTATGGGTGCTCCTCACCTACACAAATGCATGGGGTCTTGAAAGCTCCAGGCTTGTCATCACTCCTCGACTTGGACTCATTGCTGGTCTTCACCAGCTCCTGTGAAGGCCTGGTTCCTTGTCCATGCATGCTGTCATCCATGTACACTGTGTAAGAGCCTATCCAACAAGATCATGTTAGCATCAGAAGAAGAAGGTGACCAAGCATTCACAGTCGCTCATTTCCTATCCTCTGCTTTGTCTTGACCAAACTTTGCTCAGACTCCTCTTTTCCCGACAGGCCCCTGACCTCTTCTTGCCTCCAGCCTGAAGAAGCCAGGCATTGAAGAAAGTACGATGTGACCCCCTCATCACCTTCTCCTGATTTTTCCTATCAGACCCCACTGGTCATTCCCCTTACATGTCCAGCTTCTGCCTAAAAGGTCCTGCTAATCTCTGTATGCCCCTCCTCACCCTAAAACAGAAGCCTTTTTCTGTTTGATTCTGAGACACTTACAGATTTCTGAGATCTCTGAGATCGGCGTGTTCTCCTTGTTGTAATAGTCTTTCATTCTCAATAAAGCCTCTCCCTATCTAAGTCCAAGGAGCCTGGGTGGTGTGCAAACAGTTTGCGATCCACTGCTAACCTAAAGGTTGGCAGTTCAAACCCACCCAGCAGCACCGTAGAAGAAAGGCCTGGTGATCTGCTTCCATAAAGATTACAGAAAACCCTACGGAGCAGTTCTATTCTGTAACACATGGGGTCACTATGAGTCAGAATTGACTCAATGGCTACAGGTTTAGTTTGGTTATTTAAGTCCAAATTTGCTTTTGTTTGACAGAGAGAACGTGTCTTGATTTAAGACTTACTGTGCTCCCTTCTATTGTGTTTTGGGAATTATGTGGGCCATGAAGCTTCCCCTTTATCCTCAGCTACCAGGAAGCTCAGAGCTCAAGCTCAGTAACTGCTAGATTACACTGTTGCCACATTGCTCCCTCCTCCTTTTTAGGGCTCTCAGTTTCTATTTCTAACCATTCCATTGTCATACACATAGCTTTCTTTCAAATCACCTCAGTTTTTATAGGCAATATGTTGTATTTTCAAGTAAGCAAAACAGAAAATCCTACTGTCTTCACAAAGCTTTCCCTGAGCTCTGCAGCTAGCTCTGGGGATCCGATCCCTTCTCTGAACTCCAGCACCACGTGTTTTCCAAACCACACAAAGTAGCACCTTCCCCTTCAGGGTACACACAGGCCCCAGTTCTCCCATATTACACAGAAACCCTCCCTCATCCCACGTTCCTCTGCTGTCACTGTCCCCTTTTTCCCCTGCCTACTTTTCTTCTCAAGAAGGTGATTTACACCCACTGCCTCTACTTCTGCCTTCCCTGATACTCCTTGTTCCACTGCAATCTGGCCTCCACCCTCCAATCCACTCAGAGTGGTCACAGAACCATCACCAGTGACTTTCAAACTGCCACACACACAGCACACACAATGTGCACACTCACTACACAATGCATACACCACACATACACACACACGCACGCACACACACTCACACTCACAGGCACTCTGTGAGGCACCATGTCTCCACCACTCCCTCCTCCAGAAAGCCCTTTCTCCTCTGGTTTCTGGGTGCACTCTCTCTTTGTTGTCTTTCCACCTCCCCAGCATTCCCTCTCAGGCTCCACTTCCTGTGCTCTCCCTTAAGTACTGGTGTTTCCAGCAGAGTTCTGCCCTTTCTGTCCACACCAATGGCTTCACTTATCACCAAACACAGAAGAGGTCCAAATCCATAGGTGTCTCCAGCCTAGACTTCCTCTTGGGCTCTACCAACCCTCCATACACCATTTCATTCACTCCTGTGGCTTTAATCACCAGCAAGGTGTCCAACAACTCCCAAACTCATCCCTCTACTCCAGCCTCCTTACTGAGTTCCAGACCCACATGTCCAAATGCCCCCCAGACCTTGCCACGGGGATACCCCACAGGAACCTCAAATGCAGCATGTCTCACACTGAACGGCTCATTGCCCAATAGTTATTGAAACAGGAAACATGACGGTCACTATTAACATTTTCCATTCAACTAATGTTTACAGAATGCTCAGCATGTGCCAGGCTTATGTGCAGAACTAGGATATAGAGTTAACAAAACAGAAATGGTCTTGCCTTCAGGGAGCTTTTAGCCAGTCACCCAGTCCTGTCCATTCTACTGACCAATCATCTCAAAAATGATCCACTTTGCCCCACCCCTACAGGCACTGCATTTGTCTGGCCAGTATGCAATAATGGGAAGAAAGCAGTATTCGACTGAGTGATCTTTGGAGCACATCACGTTCACCTATGATTTCCAGGCTTAGAACTGAGCACTACACACAGTAGGGGCTCAATAAATGCTTAACAAATAAATAGGGAAGAAATGAGAATTATAAAGTAAATTTCAACTCACTATAACAAAAACAAAATTTTTAAAAAATTCCTAATAATTAGGCTAGATTTATTAAGTATTTAATATATGCCAGGCTCTATGCTAAACTTTTGATGCATATTATGTAATCTAATTCTCACAATAACCCTGAGAGGTAGGTTATTTTATTCCTGTTTTACAAGTTAAGGGATGTAGGCTCAGGAAACTTTTTAAAAACTTGCTCAAGCCACCTACCTAGTAAGTGGGGAAGTCGGGATTCAAATTCAGGACTGTCAGACTCCAGAGCCCATGCTTCACCCCAATGCTTGCCAGACTCAGCTCTCACTATGGAATGAGCTGCCTCTTTGATTGACAAGAGCCCCTTCCCCGATAGCCACATGACCTCTGTCGGAATACTAGGTGGGGATTCCTTTAGAAGTGGGACCAAATTGGTTGAAGGTCCCTTCTTACTCCAAGGTTCTTTTGATTTTAAATTAAAAGCTTGGGTGTTCATCTTGGTTTCCCTCACAGTGCTCAGCATGAGGCTGGGCACATAGTAGGCAAACAATCAACCTGTGCTGAATGAATGAATGGACTGACGAATGAGTGAATGGGTGGATGGATGGATAAATGAATGGATGACAATTGAGTTTGCACATGCCCAAGTTAGTTTTAACTCTTTTTGATACTCCTTTTGCTGGGCTCAGGGTCATAATCCAACGAACCCCAGAGAAGGCAGAGAAGGAAGAACACCACCCAAGCAACAAGCACACCTGCCTGCTGACACCCTTCAGAGCTGAGCAGGCAGCAGAGCAGGGGACAGGTGCTCTTACCGGCATAGGTGGTCGGTCCGGCACACGCTGCGGAGGTCCAGGCAGTTGGGCTTCTCCTTGTCCTCGTAGGAGCAGCTGGGCAGGATGGTCTGCCGGCGGCGCTCAGCACACGCCTGGTCTTGGCAGGAGCAGAAGAGCATGCGGTAGGTATACTCGCTGGGCACACGGTCAAAGAACTGGCGCAGGGCCTTGTGGCACTTGCGGCGGTTGCAGCGCTCGGTGGGTGAGATCTCACGGTTGCAGATGGAGATGTAGGAGGAGCGCAGCTTCTTGCAATTGTCGTTCAGGTTGCAGGCCTTGGCAGCATCCAGGCAGTGGTTGCTCTTGGCGCTGACCACCGGGTCTGCCCCTGTCCCTGGAGGGGGAAGGAAGCGAGCAGTTCAGAGGCTCGCACAGGCACAGCAGAGAACACAGCCACCCGTGTGCTGGGGGACACCTCCCACTGTTCAACACACTTTCAGGGACTGCTCTTTGCCTCACTCTACTCATGTGCAAAATGGGGATAACTTAATAGGACCTACCCCATAAGGTTGTGGTAAGGATTAAATGAGTTAATATACAGGTCCATAAAATGCTTAGGACAGCACCTGGCACAAAGTAAGCTATATATCTTGAACTATTATGATGATGATTATTAATCCAAAGTCTTAATTAAAATGTACCACAAGCCTAAAAGGCAAGCAAGTAGGTGTGAATGGCCCCATTTACAAACGTGAGAGATGGGCAAATAAATTGACTGGCTCAAGATCACACAACTAGGCAGCAGCTGAGCCAAGACTGGCCCCCAGAGCCCCTGAACCACTGCCCCATCACTCCTCAAACTGCACACTGCATCCCCAGCAGCACACTGGAGCAGTGCGTCCAGTCAGAGGGTGTCACTGGCATTTAGAATGAGACAATTCCTTACGGGATCTTCAGCATCCCTGGCTCCAGTGTACAAAATGCCAATAGCAACACTACCACCATCCTCCTGCCTACCATTGAGACACAAAAACTGTCCCACATGGCTCAAAAAGCTCTCTCAGGGTGGGGAGGAAGAAGCCCTGGTTAGAGCAATCGGCTGCTAACCAAAAGGTTGGCAGTTCAAACCCACCAGCTGTTCTTCGGGAGAAACATGTAGCAGTCTGCTTCCATAAAGATTAACAGTTTTGGAAACCCTATGGGGAAGTTCTACTCCATTCTAAAGTATAGCTATGAGTCAGAATCGACTTGACGGCAGTTGGGTTCGGTCTTTTTTTGGCCACGGGAAGCAGGATGCTACTGCTACCTATGGAGAAGCACTGGGCTAGGAGTGCCAGCAGTGACCCGGCAAGGCTGAAGCACAGCCAGAACTCTAACAGGGCCCATCACATAACCAACCAAAGGGCAGGGATGCTGAGACTTTGGGGCCAGTGCCATGGCCTTTGAGTTTTGTGCCACTGCCCTTGGGCACTGAACAAGCAGGATTCCCAGGAATCACGTTCCCTCTGTGACGGCTGCCTCCACCCCACAAGTCACACTTGTTCTGAGGAGGGACACATGGCACACCCACCAGGCCCACCAGCAGCCAATGCCCACCTACAGTGCACCTGTTGGCCATCCTGAGGACAGGCAGAAGGGAGGGGGGCAGGAATTCAGCCCGCAAGTGCCTTCCTGAGACATTCTAGTAAGAGCCGGATGGGAGCAGCACTGGGAGATCATCTAATTCAACCTCCTTATTTTATAGATAAGAAAACTGAGTCCTGGAGTGGGCAGGTGGTTTGCCCAAGGTCACCCAGAGCACTGGTAGCAAACCTGAGCCCACACCAGATCCCAGATCAGCACCACAGTGCACCAGGGAGAACCATCAGCTGAAGATCTAGGATGACCTATAACCCTTTTATTCATTCTCCATCAATCCAACAAAGGCTTTTCAATATTTACTGAGCACCCCTCCATTCAAGGCTCCAAAAGGCATCAGGAAGGACCCAGGCAGAGATCATGCCTTCTCTCCCACCAGTTAGCCCAGGAGACTGAGCATTTTCAGCCAAGGTTTTGAATCAGTTCAGAACGGTTCAGTAACTACTGATGTAAATGAGGGCAGTATGCGCTCGTTTCATAGCAACCAAACCTGATGTCCTCCAGATTTTGACCCAGAGTAGAAAATAAACAGAGGGGCCCCACTAAAAGATGGCAGCTGACTGCGCCACTTCCAATGCGTGTCTCTCTTGACAGGCCTGCCAATAATCCAATCTCCCACTTCAGGCTCCTGAAACATTCGGGATCCATGTGGGAGACTGGATTATTGGCAGGACTATTTAGAGCAACACATATTCAAAGTGGTGCAGTCCGTCGCCATCTTTGAGCCGGGCACTCCTGTTTGTTTCTTACTCAGGTCAAAATCCTACCGGCAACAGATTTGGTTGCTATGCAATACATACACTGCCCTCATTTATGTCAGCAATTACTGAACAGTTCTAAACCAGTTCCTCATGCTCTGATCTCTTGGTCATTAAAGAGCTATCAAGCCTCACCTCTGCACAGTCCTCTGCTAGGTGTTGTGTTGGATATAAAAGTGTATTCTACTCTCAAAGAGCCTACAAATCTAGCTAGGAAACCAAGAGGCAATACAGCAGAGTGGTGAAGGCTGGGCCTTCTAGAATTGCATCATCTGAGTTCAACTTCTGGCTCTGCTCTGATTAGCTGTGTGACCTGAGGCAAGTTACTGAACCTTACTAAACCTTTACTGCAGTTTCCTTTTCTGTAAAATAGAACCTACCTCATAGGGTTGTTGTGAGCATGAGTGAGATAGTTCATAATCCTTTTCTCTCTCCCACATAGTAGTTTTGCCCTGTCTACTGGATCATTCCCATCAGCTATTACATTGTTCATCTTTAAAAAAAGACCTCCTTGTGACCATATGCCCCCCTCAACATACCACCCCATTTTTTTGCTCCCCTTTAAAGTAAGATGCCTTAAACAAGTTGTCTGTCAAACAAGTTACTTGACCCAGTTGTCTCATTTTTCTCCTCCCATTCTCTCTTGACCCTACTCCAGCCTGGTGTTTGCCTCCACCTCTCCACAGAAAGACCTTTTGTCAACAATTGGAAATCCTCAGGTCTCACCTTACTCAGCCCATCAGCAGCGTCTGACACAATCGATCACTCCCTCCTTCCTAAACCCCTTTCCTCGCTTACTTTCCACTTCTTCTATATTCCTGCTGCCTCCCTGGGCTCTCCTTCTCAGCCTAGTTTGATGCTTGCTCCTCCTTTCCACAACTTCTTGACACTGGGGTGCCCTGGAGCTCAGTCCATCTCTTCTCTCTCTCTCTCTCTCTCTCTCTCTCTCTCTCTCTACCCATTCCCTAGGGATCTCATCTAGTCTCACAACCTTAAATACCACCACCATGCTGTTAACTCCTACACTTATATCTCTAGACCAGAACTCTCCCCTGAACTCCAGATGCTTCCGTCCAACTGCCCACTCAACAACTCTACCTGCAGCTCAGACTTACCATGTCCAAAACCAAACCCTGTTTTCCCCCAAGACTGTCTCCTGCCTCACCTACAGTCTTCCCCATATCCTTCCAGTTGTTAGACCAAAAATCTTGGTGCTTCCTTGACTCCTCACCCCTTCATGTACCATGTCAGAAAAACTTGGAAGTTCTACCTTCAAAGTATATCCAAAATCTGGTCACTTCTCACCACCACCACTGCTACCACCTTCGTCCAGGCTGCCACCATTGTTTGCCTAAATTATTGTAATAGCCTCCTTGCTGAAGTCAGGAAAACAATACCATTTATAACAGCCCCTAAAAAAATAAAATATTTAGGAGTAAATCTAACCAGGGATGTAAAAGACCTATACAAAGAAAACTACAAAACACTACTGTAAGCAAACAAAAGAGATCTACATAAATGGAAAAATATACCATGCTCATGGATAGGTAGACTCAACATTGTGAAAATGATAATTCTACCCAAAGCAATCTACAAATACAATGCAATCCCAATCCAAATACCAACAACATTCTTTAAAGAGTTGGAAAAAATAATCATGAACTTTAAACGGAAAGGGAAGAGTCCCCAGATAAGTAAAGCATTATTGAAGAAGAAGAATAAAGTAGGAGGACTCACACTACCTGACTCAGAACCTACTGTACAGCTACAGTAGTCAAAACATCTTGGTACCGGTGCAACGACAGATACGTTGGCCAATGGAATGGAATCGAGAACCCAGATGTAAATCCATCCACCTACAGTCACCTGATCTTCGATAAGGGCCCAAAGTCCATCAAATGGGGAAAAGACAATCTTTTTAACAAATGATGCTGGCAAAATTGGATGCCCATCTGCAAAAAAATGAAATAGGACCCATACCTCACATCATACACAAAAACTAATTCAAATGGATCAAAGACCTAAATATAAAACAAAAAACTATAAAGATCATAGAAGAAAAATAGGATCAACACTAGAGACCCTAATACATGGTATTAGGATACAAACCATAACTAACAACATACAAACTCCAGAAGATAAGCTAGGTAACTGGGATCTTCTAAAAATTAAACACTTATGCTCATCAAACGACTTCAACAAAAGAGGAAAAAGAGAACCTACAGACTGAAAAAAAATTTTTGGCTATTACAAATCCCACAAAGGTCTAATTGCTCAAATCTACAGGAAAATCCAACACATCTACAACAAAAAGACAAATAATCCAATTAAGAAATGGGCAAAGGAAATGAACAGACACTTTACCAAAGAAGGCATACCAGCAGCCAACAGACACATGAGGAAATGCTCATCATCACTAGCCATTAGAGAAATGTAAATCAAAACCACAATGAGATACCATCTCACCCTGGCATTACTGGCATGAATCAAAAAAACAGAAAATAACACGAGGAGACTGGAAGTCTTACGCACTGCTGATGGGAATGCAAAATGGTACAACCATTTTGGAAAACGATATAGCATGTCCTTAGAAAGCTAGAAATAGAAATACCATATGATCCCGCAATCCCAGTCCTTGGAATATATCCTGAGAAACAAAATCCATCACACAAATAAACATATGCACACCCCTGTTCATTGCAGCATTGTTGACAATTGCAAAAAGATGGAAACGACCTAGATGCTCATCAACAGATGAATGGAAAAACAAACTATGGTACATGCACACAATGGAGTACTATGCAACGAGAAAGAACAATGATGAATCTTCGAAGCATCTCACAACATGGATGAATCTGGAGGGCATTGTGCTAAGTGAAATAAGTCAATCACAAAAGGACAAATATTGTATGAGACCACTACTATAAAAACTCATGAAAAGGTTTACACACAAAAAGAAACGATCTTTGATGGTTAGGAGGGATGGGAGGGGTGGGGG